GGAGTGATCGAGTTTGCGTTGTGTGGGCTGGAGCGTAGGCCGAATGGCAGCGCTCGATCAAAGTAAAATTTTCATTGCCACTGCATACCACGTAGAGACCAGTTTGGTGGGTGTACAGGGATGAGCAGAATGAGGAATGCATTGCGGATGGCCAGCTGTGTCAGCAATGCACCCTGCCCGTAGGCCATGATTGTTTGCACTGCGTTGTCAACCCGGTTAGAAGACAGGCTAAACGTGGACGGGTCGATGCCATCGTTAACGCTTTTGCCAACGGCAGCTGATAAATCGTGGAAAATGCGTAGTTTACCAGTTTACCAGCTGAGCATTATGTCCGTAGCCGGCATGGGCATCCTTCTCCCCTACGCACATATTTGCGTAAATTTCCTTTTGGAAACGGTGTATGTGTGCAGTGCTGTCAGACCGATTGCCATGGCTGCCAGGTCCGCAACCTTCCGCATCAGTCCAGGAGTGGGAAGCAGATCGCAGTGTCTGGGGCTTGCCGTGCCGATGGCGCCAGCTTATGGAATGCTTGCAGGTTGAAACTAGACATTGCATCGGCAATCGGCTAAACTCTTATTGATATGCCATAAGCGCCGTGTAACTGTTCTGCCTGGTGCGACGATGGTGGACGCAAAGGAGGGTTTCCCAAGAAGTGATCGAGTTTGCGTTGTGTGGGCTGGAGCGTAGGCCGAATGGCAGCGCTCGATCAAAGTAAAATTTTCATTGCCACTGCATACCACGTAGAGACCAGTTCGGTGGGTGTACGGGGATGAGCAGAATGAGGAATGCATTGCGGATGGCCAGCTGTGTCAGCAATGCACCCTGCCCGTAGGCCATGATTGTTTGCACTGCGTTGTCAACCCGGTTAGAAGACGGGCTAAACGTGGACGGGTTGATGCCATCGTTAACGCTTTTGCCAACGGCAGCTGATAAATCGTGGAAAATGCGTAGTTTACCATTCTCCTTGGGCACCATGCCAATGCCGGAGTACTGGAATGATGGAAATGGAGGGATGAAATAAGGGCCGCAGGTCTTTCCTTGTGCACAGGACGTTGCCAGATACTCTTATATGTACACGGAATATTCAGTACATGAGGGAAGATTTGAGTCCGTCACAGTCTGACGGCGACCCATGAAGCCTAAGGCTATGCGGAATCCAGATTGTAAGCCCCTGCTAACGCAGGAAGAGAATGCCTTGCCTAAATGATCAGTGAGCAGTCTAGTAAAGCTGACAACATCGATGGGCGTGTGAATACATGGCATATTGGTATCAAGAGCAGGGATGGATGGTATGGTGAGTGAGAGAAACTGTGTGTTACTACTGTCTTCACATGCCTGCTTCAAAGCAGAGCTAGTGGCGTGGCGCCCCGCCATGCTTGGGTCGGGATCTGCCAGACCGTTCGGCGGGTGGAGCTGATGTGCTAGGCCAGTTGCTGGAGGAGTTGGTCATGCATGCCAAATTTTGGGTGGCGGCCTTGACATTACTGTAAAGGTGCACTCTCCCACACTCCCCTTGGCATCTGATCCAGTTGTAACTCCGGCAAATTGGGCGGCCACTGACTGAGGATGAGGAATGTTTGCCACCGAGGAGAGTGGCAGATTGACGGCGTGGACACAGCCCCGTGAACGAGTGAGGCTGCGAATCACGAAGCTCTAGCCTTGCTAGTAGTGCTCAGTTGCCACATGCTATGGCATGGTCCTGTGTTCCTCATGTTAGCTTCAAGCTTTACCGCCCACCCACCATTGGGTCCTGTACGTTTTTGCTTGTTTTGTCCGCTGTGTTCTGGTTTTCCATGGCATGTCGCATGCTGTGTTTCTGTCCCAAGGGGCTCAGCGTTTTTTTGTATGATTGCTTTCTTCCACTTGCTTACCTTCGGCTTTTTGGGTGTGACTGGCAGTGGGGCAGGTCCCATCTTCGTAGAAGAGTTTTTTGGCGGCAAGGGGAGTTTTCCGCCAGCCCGGTTTAGCGGTCATGGCTGGAAATTTAGGGAGTCGGATTTTCAGGTGCTACCCTGCTGCCCAGTCACCCACACCGTGCCATTGCTCTGCCCGTGTCTTGCACTGACATCTCTAATGCTGGCAGGCTTTCTCTTTATTACTTTCTTGCCTTGTATTTTTGCTAGCGTGTGGCTGCGAGTGTGGAATATGGTACACGGAGTGAATTCTCTGGTAGACCACTACCCACGTGCATTCTCTAGTAGACCGCTACCCACGTACATTCTCTGGTAGACCACAACTCGGGAGTACATTCTCTGGTAGACCACTACTCGTGAGTACATTCTCTGGTAGACCACTACTCGTGAGTACATTCTCTGGTAGACCACTACTCGTGAGTACATTCTCGGGTAGACCACTACTCGTGAGTACATTCCCTGGTAGACCACTACTCGTGAGTACATTCTCTGGTAGACCATTACTCGTGAGTACATTCTCTGTAGACCACTACTCGTGAGTACATTCTCTGGTAGACCACTACTCGTGAGTACATTCTCTGGTAGACCACTACTCGTGAGTACATTCTCTGGTAGACCACTACTCGTGAGTACATTCTTTGGTAGACCACTACTCGTGAGTACATTCTTTGGTAGACCACTACTCGTGAGTACATTCTCGGGTAGACCACTACTCGTGAGTACATTCTCTGGTAGACCACTACTCGTGAGTACATTCTCTGGTAGACCACTACTCGTGAGTACATTCTCTGGTAGACCACTACTCGTGAGTACATTCTCTGGTAGACCACTACTCGTGAGTACATTCTCGGGTAGACCACTTACTCGTGAGCACATTCTCGGGTAGACCACTACTCGTGAGTACATTCTCTGGTAGACCACTACTCGTAAGTACATTCTCCGGTAGACCACTACTCGTGAGTACATTCTCGGGTTGTCCCCTACCCCATGTACAAACTGGTTGCTATGTGAGTGAAAGCAACTAGTTCATAAGCCTCCTCAAGCTCGGCTTACGAAGGGTATTCCCCTTGTGTGTTCCAGATGGTAGTCATGATCATGCAATGTGAGCTTTTCAAAGCTTACAAATTCATAGTCTCACTATCCCGGTCCGTGGAACATCAAACATTCGTTGGTATCTTTGTGTGTTGTAAAGTTAGCCATCATGGCATGTGACTACAAGGAAATGAATTTAGAAATCCTGGGTCACATTATTCTTCCTACAGGGCTGTGTGCCGATAGTTGTTTTTACTAGGACGCTTCAAGAGATTGCGAATACACTTCTGGTCTTTCTATGTATTTTTTTTCTATTTGATTTTTGTTTCTCAGAAAATAAGAACTGTAACGAAAACTATATTATCATCCGTTAAAAAGGTGTGCACCTTCCAGATACAGTGCTGTTCCGACAAAATTGTATGATGCAATAATTCTCTAGCGAGTGATTTACGATGTATTCACTGTCTGTTAACACATTACATGGGATCATAATGTTATTTGTCCTCCACAGGTACAGGATGAGACATGTACAACATGCTTTGTATCATAAAGATGATGTCAACTTTGAATTCTGTCAGGACAGAATCGATGGTTGAGTTGCACACTTTGGTGGCTATGTACTGTGAATGTAACTAATCATGTAGAGGTGTCAACGAGAAGTAGGGCACCCATGCTACCCGTACGCGTACTTCCTCCGGAAGCAAAAACTTCGTTACTTTTTCACTACTTTTCGCTCCTGTTATTTTTGCTCTCTCTCTCTCTCTCTCTCTCGTTCTGTTAACCTGAAACACTGACATGACATTTCTGGATCGTAGGAAAGCATGATTCATATCTTGGAGAGCCGACAATCGTCGCAGATCAAGGGTGTCGACGCTGCAAACAAAGCAAAGCGAACATGTTTTTTCATTTTTCGTCCATCAGGCACAATGGGAAGAAAAGCACTGCGCTCACTGCTCGTCGTAGCTATTTTTTAGTTCCAAACTTGACAAAGTAGGACAATGGAACCGAGGAGCAACACGAGTGCAAAATTAATAGCAATAGCAGCTAGCGTTTTGAAAGATTCGCCATCCCTGAAACGCCTGTTTGCATGCCAACAAGTCGGCAAGATGTCAAAACTCCAAAACGCAGAGATGTGACAATCATCACTTCGCGTGGATGGCCTCGCCTTTTCTAGCAGCCTCGACGATGTGTTCTTGGTCGCAAAGGAGAAGGCGAGATAATTATGATCGCGGCAGCCGGGAAGTGCTGGTACGACTATGATATCCCTCGGAGGAAATTTGAAATGTTTGGCGTGCCTGTGTTTGTTGTTCAAGGGCGTCCTTGAGCGAGAGCGGAGGCGATAATGAGTATCAGCGCTGCAGCGCTACCGTGGTCTCTGCCGAGATGTTGGAGAAGGCATCCAGGTAACAGCGAAGACGATCAGAAACGCGGAGAAGCTTCGTGACATACGACATCGCGTTAATCGACCTGCCACTTGGAACGGTTTCAGCGGTGATGAGTTGAGAGATGTCGACCCAGACTGAGACTCTACTCCCACTAATCGATCCTGTAGATATTGTAGATATGTAGATTGAATGTGTTGAAGTGTTTCTCTCCCAAAAGAAAACGTTTGTTGAGCTCGGTAACTCCTTGAAAAGTAATGTCAAAAAGTCACGAAGTTTTTCTTTCCGGAGGAAGTAGTAGGGTATCCATTCTTTTCTCCTGAGAACCCGATTGGGTGGTTGGTGTACAGTGTTTTTTCAACAGTGCATGTAAATAGCATGGCTACACGTACATGCTACTGTACAATTTCTATGTAGCGCAAGTGCACACTCACAGTACAAACTGTGTCAAAAATACCTGATAGGGTACCCGCGCTACCCAGATAAAATACCCGGACCCGTTATCCGACAAAACCCCTACCCGTGGCAGCCCTAAACTAATGCACCGCTAAAAGTTGTTGAAATTCATTGCAAGTTGTACATAGTTTGAGAGTTGAAAATTGCTTTGGTGCGGCATTGGCAAAGCATCATTCATTTGGGGGGGGGGGGGAGGGAGGAGATACTTCTGACTTACCATGATTGTCATGGGAATTCTGCTATACTCATCATACCGGTATGAAAAGTATGACTCCGGCACTTGTTCCAAGAGATCCGGTCTAGTCACAGGTTCAGTTGGAGTGCCGATATCCACGGTTTGTCGGACTTTTTCCACGTCGTCATCTTCACATGCTCTCACCAGGTCTGGATGAGGTGCATTGGTTGAGTAGTAGTGATCACCGTACTCATCCAACTTTGGTGGTTCATACTTGTCCTTACTCTCCTCTTCAGACGCTGCTTCAATTGCTACAGTACAAACATAAGCACATGGATAAGCAATGTCTACTTGTACATGGTAAGATTGCATGGTGTGTAGGTAAATACTGGGATTGCGTGGTGTGTAGGTAAATACTGGGATTGCATGGTGTGTAGGTAAATACTGGGATTGCATGGTGTGTAGGTAAATACTGGGATTGCATGGTGTGTAGGTAAATACTGGGATGGCATGGTGTGTAGGTAAATACTGAGATTGCATGGCGTGTAGATAAATACTGGGATTGCATGGTGTGTAGGTGAATACTGGGGTTGCATGGTGTGTAGGTAAATACTGGGATTGCATGGTGTATAGGTAAATACTGGGATTGCATGGTGTGTAGGTAAATACTGGGATTGCATGGTGTGTAGGTAAATACTGGGATTGCATGGTGTGTAGGTAAATACTGAGATTGCATGGTGTGTAGGCAAATACTGGGATTGCATGGTGTATAGGTAAATACTGGGATTGCATGGTGTGTCGGTAAATACTGGGATTGCATGGTGTGTAGGTAAATACTGGGATTGCATGGTGTGTAGGTAAATACTGGGATTGCATGGTGTATAGGAAAATACTGGGATTGCATGGTGTGTAGGTGAATACTGGGGTTGCATGGTGTGTAGGTAAATACTGGGATTGCATGGTGTATAGGTAAATACTGGGATTGCATGGTGTGTAGGTAAATACTGGGATTGCATGGTGTGTAGGTAAATACTGGGATTGCATGGTGTGTAGGTAAATACTGGGATTGCATGGTGTGTAGGTAAATACTGGGATTGCATGGTGTAAAGGAAAATACTGGGATTGCATGGTGTGTAGGTGAATACTGGGGTTGCATGGTGTGTAGGTAAATACTGGGATTGCATGGTGTATAGGTAAATACTGGGATTGCATGGTGTGTAGGTAAATACTGGAATTGCATGGTGTGTAGGTAAATACTGGGATTGCATAGTGTATAGGTAAATACTGGGATTGCATGGTGTATAGGTAAATACTGGGATTGCATGGTGTGTAGGTAAATACTGGGATGGCATGGTGTGTAGGTAAATACTGAGATTGCATGGCGTGTAGGTAAATACTGGGATTGCATGGTGTGTAGGTGAATACTGGGGTTGCATGGTGTGTAGGTAAATACTGGGATTGCATGGTGTATAGGTAAATACTGGGATTGCATGGTGTGTAGGTAAATACTGGGATTGCATGGTGTGTAGGTAAATACTGGTATTGCATGGTGTGTAGGTAAGTACTGGGTTTGCATGGTGTGTAGGTAAATACTGGGATTGCATGGTGTGTAGGTAAATACTGGGATGGCATGGTGTGTAGGTAAATACTGAGATTGCATGGCGTGTAGGTAAATACTGGGATTGCATGGTGTGTAGGTGAATACTGGGGTTGCATGGTGTGTAGGTAAATACTGGGATTGCATGGTGTATAGGTAAATACTGGGATTGCATGGTGTGTAGGTAAATACTGGGATTGCATGGTGTGTAGGTAAATACTGGGATTGCATGGTGTGTAGGTAAGTACTGGGTTTGCATGGTGTGTAGGTAAATACTGGGATTGCATGGTGTGTAGGTAAATACTGGGATTGCATGGTGTATAGGTAAATACTGGGATTGCATGGTGTGTAGGTAAATACTGGGATTGCATGGTGTGTAGGTAAATACTGGGATTTCATGGTGTGAAGGTAAATACTGGGATTGCATGGTGTGTAGGTAAATACTGGGATTTCATGGTGTATAGGTAAATACTGGGATTGCATGGTGTGTAGGTAAATACTGGGATTGCATGGTGTGTAGGTAAATACTGGGATTGCATGGTGTATAGGTAAATACTGGGATTGCATGGTGTGAAGGTAAATACTGGGATTGCATGGTGTATAGGTAAATACTGGGATTGCATGGTGGGTAGGTAAATACTGGGATTGCATGGTGTATAGGTAAATACTGGGATTGCAGGGTGTGTAGGTAAATACTGGGATTGCATGGTGTGAAGGTAAATACTGGGATGGCATGGTGTGTAGGTAAATACTGGAATTGCATGGTGTAGGTAAATACTGGGATTGCATGGTGTGTAGGTAAGACTGGGATTGCATGGTGTGTAGGTAAATACTGGGATTGCATGGTGTATAGGTAAATTCTGGGATTGCATGGTGTGTAGGTAAATACTGGGATGGCATGGTGTGTAGGCAAATACTGGGATTGCAGGGTGTATAGGTAAATACTTGGATTGCATGGTGTGTAGGTAAATACTGGGATTGCATGGTGTGTAGGTAAATACTGGGATTGCATGGTGTATAGGTAAATACTGGGATTGCATGGTGTGTAGGTAAATACTGGGATTGCATTGCGTGTAGGTAAATACTGGAATTGCATGGTGTGTAGGTAAATACTGGGATTGCATGGTGTATAGGCAAATACTGGGATTGCATGGTGTGTAGGTAAATACTGGGATTGCATGGTGTGTAGGTAAATACTGGGATTGCATGGTGTGCATTTAAATACTAGGATTGCATGGTGTGTAGGTAAATACTGGGATTGCATGGTGTATAGGTAAAGACTGGGATTGCATGGTGTGTAGGTAAATACTGGGATCGCATGGTGTGTAGGTAAATACTGGGATTGCATGGTGTGTAGGTAAATACTGGGATTGCATGGTGTGTAGGTAAATACTGGGATTGCATGGTGTGTAGGTAAATACTGGAATTGTATGGTGTAGGTAAATACTGGGATTGCATGGTGTGTAGGTAAATACTGGGATTGCATGGTGTATAGGTAAATACTGGGATTGCATGGTGTGCATTTAAATACTAGGATTGCATGGTGTGTAGGTAAATACTGGGATTGCATGGTGTGTAGGTAAATACAGGGATTGCATGGTGTGTAGGTAAATACTGGGATTGCATGGTGTAGGTAAATACTGGGATTGCATGGTGTGTAGGTAAATACTGGGATTGCATGGTGTGTAGGTAAATACTGGGATTGCATGGTGTGCATTTAAATACTAGGATTGCATGGTGTGTAGGTAAATACTGGGATTGCATGGTGTGTAGGTAAAGACTGGGATTGCATGGTGTGTAGATAAATACTGGGATTGCATGGTGTGTAGGTAAATACTGGGATTGCATGGTGTGTAGGTAAATACTGGGATTGCATGGTGTGTAGGTAAATACTGGGATTGCATGGTGTGTAGGTAAATACTGGAATTGTATGGTGTAGGTAAATACTGGGATTGCATGGTGTGTAGGTAAATACTGGGATTGCATGGTGTGTAGGTAAATACTGGGATTGAATGGTGTGTAGGTAAATACTGGGATTGCATGGTGTGCATTTAAATACTAGGATTGCATGGTGTGTAGGTAAATACTGGGATTGCATGGTGTGTAGGTAAATACTGGGATTGCATGGTGTGTAGGTAAATACTGGGATTGCATGGTGTGTAGGTAAATACTGGGATTGCATGGTGTGTAGGTAAATACTGGGATTGCATGGTGTATAGGCAAATACTGGGATTGCATGGTGTATAGGTAAATACTGGGATTGCATGGTGTGTAGGTAAATACTGGGATTGCATGGTGTATATGCAAATACTGGGATTGCATGGTGTGTAGGTAATAACTGGGATTGCATGGTGTGTAGGTAAATACTGGGATTGCATGGTGTATAGGTAAATACTGGGATTGCAGGGTGTATAGGTAAATACTGGGATTGCATGGTGTGTAGGTAAATACTGGGATTGCATGGTGTGTAGGTAAATACTGGGATTGCATGGTGTGTAGATAAATACTGGGATGGCATGGTGCATAGGTAAATACTGGGATTGCATGGTGTGAAGGTAAATACTAGGATTGCATGGTGTGTAGGTAAATACTGGGACAGGGAATGCAGCATCTTCTTCTGCTAAACATGTATCTGTCAACATGACATCTTTGAAAACTAATGAATCACTTGTAGGCGAAGTCACCATCTGTTGGGCTTAGGTCGAAAGGTTGGACTGATCTACATCAAATGCAGCCAGCCTCTAAAAGTGTTATAGCAGTGATGATATAGAACTGTAAAGTGTGTTCAGCACTGGCAGACCTAGATAACTGCTTTCTGGTACATGAACTTGACTGGGGATAGGTTTCAGTAAGTCTGTTATGTGCACTGCACAACATAATACCACTATATGAAAGCAAAAGAGTGAACGGTGGATTGCAAGCATGGTGTTGTCATGCACATGCACACTTAGTGCATCACACATACACACACACCTTGTCCCTTGCAGACACGCAGGCTGTTCTAGAACTACCTAGTGATGTTAGTTGTAATGAAATTCCCCAAACTGTCTTTGTCTAGTCAAGTGTGCATGTGGATGTATGATGTTGTAGTCAGGAGTCCTTTTGCCAGGTGTCTTGTTTATCTCTTTGGCAGGGTACTGCTGCTAGGGCTCTAGCAACAAGGGAAAACGGTCGCAGATCAGTGCAGTGCAATGGCGAACCACTCTCATGCAATGTTTTGTGCTTAATCTTTCGCAATCCAGAAGATCTACTCTTGGCTTGGTCGTTAGTGCTAGTGTTCCAATATGGCAGCCCACACTGCTTCATCTCCGTAACCATCTCCGATCTCCTGTCTGCTCATTTTTGGATTTGCAGATGTTGATGCGCCGGATTGCGGCACAGGCCAACATGGTTGTCTGTGGGTCTTCGGCTATCGACGACATAGTCAAAAATCTCTTGTCTCACGGTGCAGCCACTCGTAGCAAATAAATTCTCAGTCGGATGAAGCTCGGTAGATCTACCGAAGACGACTTCTCAAATAAGCATGAGTGCACCCGTACTTTTTTTGGAGCGAAAATAATGGAAAACACAAACTTCGCGCAAACATTCGCAGAAATATTCGCAAGCCCAGACGAGAAAATCCATGCGAACGTTTGCTCTGCAAAACCTCTCTACTAAGTTTTTTTCCACTCCCGAGGCAGTAGCTCTTATCCGAGTTCCACTGCATCTCATATGGAGCCGTACGAATGGATATGTCCGACTTGCTCCAAAGGAACGCCAATACAAGCAGTGGACTGTGCAATGACCCTTGAAATCAAGTCCCACAGTTTTGTTCCTCCACAAGCTAAAGTAATCATTTCACTCACCAGTGCCACCAGCAGGTTGTTCGGATTGGTGGCCGGAGCTCTCATCCTTGCTGGACTCTTGCTCCATTGGTAACAATAGCCTTCACCAATGTTGTCACCAAACGGATACCTGAAACACAGCAACACACACTGGAATAAGCTGCCAGAAAAAAAACGCTGTCTGACATCCGCTGGCCGATTTACTGTTGCTGTGTGTAGACACAATCTGAATCACAAGTATTCTGTGCAAGGTATACCGAATTTTTGCAACTAGCTTCTACTGTTCCTGTTTGCATTATTTCTATTTTTCACTTTATCATGTCCCTTCCTCCCTCTTTCATATCAGCCACCTTCACTTTCTTTCCCCAGGAGCCTCCCCTTGATAGGAATTCATTCGGTTCTGGAGAATCCTTGAAAAATATATTAATAATCAATATATTATGTAAAAAAGCGAAGAAACACATGAGAACGAGTTATGCAGCAACTATCCACGACTGTAACGAGATGATAAACGGTCAGAAAGTTGGATAATAGGGCACAAAACTGACAGGCTACTGAGACATTCAGCGACCCGAGACCTAGCTCTAACACATCTCCAGTGCGCAAACCAACAGCCTTCCAACTTGGAAGGTTCATGGTTACGTAGGACCGAAGAGGGGAAGGTGAGCGCAGCGAAAATGTGCACAAGCTAAGTCTTGCGGCAACAAAGAATGCCGACTGTTACAGGACGATGATGAGACCAGTTAATAACATGACAAAGCGGTCTGATTACAATTCGAAGCAGCAAAGCAACATACCACCCAACTTGGGAAGGCCAGCAATATCGAAGATAAAGGAAAGGGGAAGCTTTGCAAAAACGAATTGTACAAAACCGGACGCCAATATCTAACGGTACTCCTCATGCATGACACTATTGTGAACGAGTTGACTACAATAACGAGTAGTTCCACACGATGTACGTTTCGCCGTGTTGTTAGTGACGGCTCATCAGGGGTGCAAAATTTAAACTCGGATACTGAGCCAGTAATAAAATGTAAAAAAGAGAAGAAACACATGAGAATGAGTTATGCGTAACTCGTTCTCATGTGTTTCTTCTTCTTTTTACATATTATTACTGACTCAGGATCCGAGTTTAAACATTATTATGTTAAATCAATACATTCACGTTTACACTGTGGTAAATTACCATGTATAGCCACACCCACACATTACCAACTACCATGTATAGCCACACCCACACATTACCAACTACCATGTATAGCCACACCCACACATTACCAACTACCATGTATAGCCACACCCACACATTACCAACTACCATGTATAGCCACACCCACACATTACGAACTACCATGTATAGCCACACCCACACATTACCAACTACCATGTATAGCCACACCCACACATTACCAACTACCATGTATAGCCACACCCACACATTACCAACTACCATGTATAGCCACACCCACACATTACCAACTACCATGTATAGCCACACCCACACATTACCAACTACCATGTATAGCCACACCCACACATTGCCAACTACCATGCATAGCCACACCCACACATTACCAACTACCATGTATAGCCACACCCACACATTACCAACTACCATGTATAGCCACACCCACACATTGCCAACTACCATGTATAGCCACACCCACACATTACCAACTACCATGTATAGCCACACCCACACATTACCAACTACCATGTATAGCCACACCCACACATTACCAACTACCATGTATAGCCACACCCACACATTGCTAACTACCATGTATAGCCACACCCACACATTACCAACTACCATGTATAGCCACACCCACACATTGCTAACTACCATGTATAGCCACACCCACACATTGCTAACTACCATGTATAGCCATACCCACACATTGACAACTACCAACACCTCTACACACTTTTACATATTCATCGAGAGAGCTTGGAAGCTCAGGGCCCTACGCTATGCTTTTTTGGTTAGCTCACCATGCATATTATTAGAACTGATGTAAATGGTTTTTTTCCATTGATTGGCTGCATCAAACTTTCTCTTTGCAGTCGAGGGTATTACTACACCGTCTGCCACCTTGATGTTCTAGGCAAAAAAGGCATAGGGATGTTATAAATTTTTCATTTCTCCTATTGTATTTTCAAGACATAACCTAGGATTCGAACACGCACTATCGCCCTGCATGCATTCCCCGATACACTTCGCATACATACTCATTCTTCCAAGTTGCTTCACGTTATGATCTTTCATTTCAAAGCATTGTTGCCATGAAGTAACGTCTGGGGCTAGCCAGGGTCCACACAGCTTTAACTCCGTGTGTGTTTGTTTGTTGGTGCCATCGGCATGCCTGGTGCTATCCCGTACCTGTCCCGTACCGTACTATCAAGGTGTGTGTTTTTTTTGTTTGCGCCGTCGGCATGCCTGGCGCTATCCCTCACCTGTCCCGTACCGTACCATCAAGGTGTGTGTTTGTTTGTTTGTATTGGCTCTATCCCGTACCTGTCCCGCACCGTAACATCGAAGACAGCTGGCCACAACATTGAAACAGGGTTTGCAAATGCAAGATCATAACGGTAAGCAACTTAGAAGAATGAGTATGTATGCGAGGCGTATAAGGGGAATGCATGCAGGGCGATAGTGCGGGTTCGAATCCTAGGTTATGTCTTTAAAAAAGAAATAGGAGAAATGAAATTTTTTAATATCCCTATGCTTTTTTGCCTAGGTCATCAAGGTGGTAGAGGGTGTCGTATTACCCTCGGATGCAAAGAGAAAGTCTATTTCTTTCGCTCATGGCTCTGCGCTATGCTTTTTTGCCTAGCTCATCATTATTATTATTATTATTATTATTATTATTATTTATTACAACATCTCAAGACTCGGCGGAAACAACGGCCAATGTTACGAGAGTGGGTGATTGCCAACCACGGATCATGAATGGTATTCGAACAGATGGAAACTTTTGCAATACAATGATGTAGCCGATCAGTTCATTGTGGTATGGATGGGAATTGTAGCCATTAATATGTTTCTGGTTTCAGAGTTCGAATCGGAGCAGCCGTTCTCCAATTCAAATCGAGCCGTCATGGTCGATGTAAAACACTATTTATATGCACAAGTTCTGGGGGCAAACGTCTCTCTGTCCCATAAGCTGCCACATACCAACTAAATACAAAACCATGGACTTCACGCGAGCTGACTTGCACGCGTGGTCCTTTTCACGAACCCAGACAAAGGGATTGGTGTATTATAACGCATGTACGGAGTCACTAGACTACACCCGCACCAGAGATGAAGGCGCCAGCGCCAGACATCAATACGGTGTTGTACGGTATAAGGATGTCATATAGCATGTCCTACAACAGTACGATGAAATTGTGGGAGAAACCAGCGACCGCTTTGGAACGATGAACATTACAACAGTCTTATTGTGAGTGATAGTCAGGCCAAGTTTCTGAACATCAGTAGCGAGTGCTATCCCCAGCATTATGTTAGCATTATGAAAGCATAGACAGGATGCGTACTACAGGAGACCCAAGTTGCTGAAGACCAGTAGTCATTGCTGACAACGTGAAGAATAACTAAATCCGTAGCCTCTTTTGCCGTCGGAAAGGATGTGTAACATAGGAGACTGTAAAGATATATAATGGGCTCCACACGCAACCATGCATTCGGCCGTCAGCAACAGTTAAGCACAAGAACACTATTAAGGCAAGGATATTATTGTATTATTGTGTTGTATCGTATTGTTGATAAATATGGTGGTAAAGACACACCTGGCAATGTGGCGGTAAACACACACCTGCCCACACACGCTCTCTAGGCTGCAAAGTTCTGGCACAGCTCTCCTTCTCACCACCACCACCATCAGCTCGCGCCTGGCGCCTGGTCCATGCATGGCTGGCGGTATCCGGCATAGCAGGCTGGTACATCAATTAGCGCATGGCACATAGAAGATGACACAGCAACGACATAGCTCGATTGCGACGTACGCTTCGTCCCGGCTGGACTCATCAGGCAATCTTCTTCTTGGATGTCTTCATACGGAGCTTGACTCGGGAGAATGAAATTGAAGACACCACTGCAGCTGTACTTATGGTTGATAAATATGGTTGTAAAGACACACCTGGCAATATGGCGGTAAACACACACCTGCCCACACACACTCTCTAGGCTGCAAAGTTCTGGCACAGAGCTCTCCTTCTCACCACTACCACCTTCAGTTCGCGCCTGGGGCCTGGTCGATGCATGATGCTGTGCCGGATACCGCCAGCCATGCATCGACCAGGGATCGACCAGGGATTTCCCCTAAAAAGACGAAGAGATCGATCAAAGTATTTCAATAACATACGAGGAGAAAATAGTCGTAAAATGGTAATGAACGAGAGAGCTTGGAAGCTCAGGGCCCTACGCTATGCTTTTTTGCCTTGATGACCTAGACAAAAAAAACATAGGGATGTTCTAAAATCTTATAAATTTCTACTTTTTGTTTTTAGGCATAACCAGGGATTCGAACTCGCCCTATCGCCCTGCATGCATCCCCCGATACACTTCGTATACATACTAATTCTTCCAAGTTGCTTCACGTTATGATCTTGTATTTGAAAACCCAGTGTCTGCTCCAGCGCCTGGTGAGCCGGGTAATCCACCCGGTTGGGCGGCGCTTGGACCCGGTTGAAAATATAGTGAAGGGTCATCTATGACCCGGTTGGTACTTTACACTTTCGAACTTTGAAAGGACTGACTATAATTATGGCCTGTATGTGTCAGATACTTCTTCTTCCATAATTTTCTAATTCCTGTCCTCTCTTTTCTAAATGCGGCTTATCCATTCGCCTTTACATATCATTGGCCTAGTTCCCATTTATTGTGCGAATTAAAATAAACCCACCAACCAGTTAAAGCATGTGACTCGGCTGGTGAGACAGCACCAGGTATATGTGTACCCGGCTCCAACCCGGTTGAAATGGTTGCGCCAGGTACACGTGTACCCGGCTGTCCTGCAATCCTAGAGCAGACACTGAAGCCCTATTTGAATATGCATTGTGGCCAGCCGTCGTTGATTGTACGGTACGGTACGGAACAGGTACGGGACAGGTACGGTCGAGGGTACCATCTACCGCCTTGATGACGGCAAAAAAGGCATAGGGATGTGAGCCAGAGCACGCTAAAATATGACCACAGACCAAAAATTTGATTTTCAGTTTTTGTTCTATAATGATGAAACACACCTAATGTTCAGTGTCTGAAAGTTTTTGATTGACCGGACATGTCTAAGTGTTGCTACAATGCTATTATATAGGGCACTGTTGAAATGGTGAATTTCTACGTACAGCAATGGGATTGTCATTTTTGCACACAGTTGATATATTATCCCTTGGTTCATCCTTTCCCCGTCAGTTCCTCTGTCCAGGGTCTTATAGCATGAGCTGACAGGTACTCGGCCACATCCAAAATTTCTATAGGCAGCTGAGCTGGGTGTCCGAAATACCTCCTGTTCGGAGCACCACTGGAGAACCGGCAGCGAAAACACGGTCAACATCTGTAGATGGCCGAAAAAGTTGGCACTCCACGTCCTCTCCATCACACTCCACCTGTAGTTTCAGATATACAGTATACACTGCTGCACAGAGTCTTCCTCGACATACTCGACGTCGCACTCATATTCCCCATACCAAAGCCCATCTGCACACGGTTTTCTTCGCTCACCAGAGAGTACTGCTTTCGCTGCCTACTGCTCGTGCTAGCAATGTTCCGCATAAGGGTGTTCAAATTATCGACTTGAGCAAGTTGAAGAAGCAGCAAAGTCCATTGATTGTTTTTCCACTTGCAACCAACACTGGCATTGTCTCGGATGTCCATTCTGGCCAAATGATCGGCCGACTCAGCTCCCAAGTCAGTGTCGATGCCAATCGCTTGCCAGGTTGTCATCAGAGTAGAATTCCTCGTCACTGCAGATCGTGAGACTACCACCATCAATTCTTTTACGCTCGATGAAAGTGTCGCCCTCAAAATTAATGACTCGTCGCTGTAGCCACCATCGTCTTCTTTCTGTTTCTGACCCGAATCCTCAAATATTTTATCTTGCGCATAGAGTGCGAGGATGTTGTCTTCTTCCGCTCCACAGTACATTACTACTACTAGGCTCTTCCATCGATACATCGATGACGATCAGTTTTAGGCGACTCAGCGCAACATGAAATACAAACTCAAACAAATAAACTTACTTGCAACAAAGAAATGCATCCGGAACAGTCTTATCGACCGAGGAGAACAACAACAGCGACTCGCGTTGCACTGCACTTCGTTTTTTTGCCGCGGAATTCAAATAGCGATTATCTCGACTTTTTCAAAAAGAGCTGTGGTCATGTTTCAGCGCGCTCTGGCTCATGGTATAAATTTTTCGATTCTTTTTTTTTTTAAGGCATTACCTGGGATTCGAACTCGCACTATCGCCCTACATTTATTCCCCCATACACTTCGCATTCATACTCATTCTTCCAAGTTGCTTCACGTTATGATCTTGCGTTTGAAAGCCCTATTTGAATAGTGCGGCCAGCTGTATGTGGCCAGCTGTGTTTGATGGTACGGTACGGTACGGGACAGATAAGGGATAGCGCCAGGCGTGACACAAACACACAAACACACAAACAAACACCAAATTAAAGCTGTGTGGACCCTGGCTAGCGCCAGACGTTACTGAAGTAACGTCTTTTGCATAGCTACGGGAATACAACTAATTGTGCACTCATGATTAGGGGTGCGCGGATTATGCTCGCACGCAACCGACACGGTTTCGGGTATTTCCCGCAGAACTTCGAAAGTATTCTCCCAAAACATCGAAAAAATTCTCCAGAATTCCCCCCAAAAAAAGAACCCCAGCACGAACCGTGCCTTGCGCACGCTCTTTAGTATGCAAAATGGACGGTCAGGCACGTGATCACTGCATGCAGGATCTACACTACATGTACTAGATCTACATCTGACTGTACACAGCTACTACTGTAAAAGCCATTATTCTAACGAGGCGCTTATATAACGATTTCCAAAAATTGACTAGTTTACGTGTACCAAAGGTAACGATTTTCAATCATTCTCAACGCTCATCAGGACAGTATATGTATCGATTTCTGTATAATTATTTCTATTTTAACGACAGATTTCTTCTCGTTAACTCGTTAGAGTTAGTACTTCGATATATATAATATAAAATTATGGCTTTTACAGTATGTCGTGTCCGGGGATTGCTGCATGTACATGCAGGTGCGTCCATGGATGCGCACTTGTTCTCTGCAGGTCAAAATTGACAGAATTCCCCAAAAACTCTTCTGAAGGTCAATGGATCTGGCAAAAGATCGATAGAATTCCCCTAAAATTCCCAACATTTTCTCGACGATAGTATTCCCAAATTATTCCGGGAATAATCCGTGCACCCCTACTCATGAGCCATAACCATGTACAGTCGAATGTCACTCATTTGGTCGCCAGTTATCCGAGCACGTCGGTTATCCGACAAGCCCGGGAGTGGTAATTTTATGACTCTCAATAGGAAAATTCAAAAAAAAATAAAAAAAACTTTGTAAAAAGGCGACGTGGAGACAATAATCTTAATAATACAATGAATATAACTAATGATTCGTCCCCATGGTTGTGATATGAGTGCGCATTTAGTTATATTCATTGCATTAAAATAACTTTTGTTTTTTGTTTTGTATATTATACGGTGTAATATGCATTTACTTGAAGTATATGTGGTCAAGTATGCTAATATGTACATGTATGTGTACATGGAATATGCATGAATAATTATATTTGGGTATTGTGTACATAAATCAGTGAAATCCAGCCATAATTATATGCACATAAAAAATGGTATCAGTTATCCAACATACTCAGTTATCCAACATGCCTGATTTCCGAAGTTGTCGGATAAGTGACAGTCGACTGTACATGTATTGACTATTTTGTTTTTCTGGTCAATGGTCACGTCACCGTTTCCGATTGGAAGGAGTCCTTTCTTTGGAATTTGACGGAATTATTCATCGACTAATTTTATCTGCTTGTAAAACACACGGATTGAGAGTGAGTGGATATTGCAGCAGCAGAAATACCTTCGCGTTTGAATTGCCGTTGCTGCGCTTTACTACGAACAATACAACACCATGCGGACAAATGTGAGCACACGACACGGAGTACTGTACATCAGCAGAAACCTTTCCAATAAATCGTTACGGGTTAGGGCTGCTGTACTGCTAGAACTCAGCGCAGGCCCTCAGTGAAATCTTGGGGACTGAATGGGAGATGCTTACCTGACTTCAAGCCAGGGAGAAGCACCTGCTCCCGATAACGGCCGGGTGGTTCCTGTCCGGCGTCTGCTATTCTGGTAACGTTGACCCGGACGATTGGTAGTCCCACAAATCTAAACGCCACCTGCCGATGGGCAGGTAACGAACGAAAGCGCTTCACTTCCGCAACCAGATTGCGACAGAGCGTCACTCGAACTCCCAGAAAATAACAATATGAAGGGCCGCAAGCAGAACACGCATCCGCCCAGAACAGCTACAGACGGCAACGAGCAAGAAAAAAACGATTCCGCATTCAACTGACGCACGGACGGTGCAGCAGTCCAAGATCCTCTCTACACGTTCGCTGCACGCTCCAGCGGCCAGAGCTCTGTGGCTTCATTCATCTGTCTGATCTGGCAAAAGTTGTAGATTTACGCGTAGATTATGTACATGACTGTAGAACATGACATCAGATTCTACTGCCTGCTCCACACTACAAAAGTACAGTGCTACTCGTGTACATCCATATGTAGGTCTACATAATCATTGCGGGCCGATCTTTCTGCTGATGCTCCCACACCAACTCCGAAATGAAGCCGACAGTCTGTGTCGCCAGAGCAAAGGCGGACTAGCTGTTCAAGTGTCATCACATGCAACAGTGCTAGTGAGCGATGTCGCCTGTACTGAAGATCATGTAGACCCTACAATAGGCCTGTCTGTTCACCCACTTACACGTCACGTGGTACATAGCCGGGCTAGATCGTAGTAGAAGCAAGGCAGTGCAGAGGAAATGAGATCCATGTTTTACAGGCAGTAGCTACCATGGAGTAGTAAAATACGTATGTATTTTACTACTCCATGGTAGCTACAGCCAAGGCCAAAGGCAAAGGCGTAAAAAGGCTGGCGGCATCCACAGCAGCACTCTACACAACACATCATCATCATGCATGTACTGTCGTGGACATGGAAATTCGGTCTCACGTCTAGCGGCCCCCGGGCGCTGGCCATGCAGCCATGGCTTGCTTTATTACGCGCTGCTGCTGGTCGCATCGTTTCAACAATAACATGTGCGCTGCATGCAACGACGACGTTCTGTACGCGCTGAGGGCTCCGGCCCTGGTCAATCGACTGGATTTCCATGTCCGCGACAGTACATTGTAGTCATTCATCCCGAGCCGCTCGCTTTCTTTTTTTAATTTCGGCCAGTCGGCTACATAATTGTCTTGGGGGTTAGACAATGGGAAGTAGCCGAGTAGGGGCGTGAGCCTGCCTTTCGGCACCGGAAGAGGACCCACACCTTGATCTGGTGAGCTGCGTCGCGTTTTGATCATGCTGACTGAGGCTACTCCTTTCCACAGTTGGGCCTCCACTAAGGCCGCGGTCACACATGAAAAGGTTGCACCGCTTTTAAGGCTGCATTCACACCCGGTACAAAAATTCTCGTTTACATGACTGTACAAACCACTTGCAACGCCTGTGCATTCACACAGTCAAATGCAGTGCATGCCAAACACGTAAAAAGTGACCCGCGTGACCCATGGCGAAGAGCGGGAATTTTGATCTCTGCATGAGCTGAGCGCACTTGTTCCGTGCGGCACTTGGCTCAATATTTCAAAACTCCTATTTCTTGGTCCGCTAGTATGATCTCGGTGGAACGCCTTCACAACTTGTGTATTCCTCTGAGTGTGCTGGAGTTGTGAACCCTAGCGGCCGTGTATATCATTTCCTGTTTCCTGATCACCTCCGGATAGCTGCTTTGCGCACAGATTCAGCTCATCTGCAATCCTCTTCTCGGCAACAGCTCTTTTAATCATAGTTCCATTTACTCGCAGGTATTTTCCCCATAGTTCTATCAGCCATAGCTCCACCTTGGCAGAAAAGACCACTCGAGGGATGGTACCGGATTCTCCAAAAACTAACAAAAACTCTGCGCATTCGACACACACTCGGTTCGTCTTGCCTGAAAACTAAAAGCCGAAATCCGCCTTCAAAGTCGCTCCGGGATGGCTTCGAACGTTGATGTGATATTTCACTTTTCGCGCATGTTTCCATGCCCACTTCAAAGACCATGATGCTTTTAAGTTGTATGCGGTTTTGTACCGTGTGTAGGCCGCGGTCACACATGAAAAGCGTAACTACCGCAGCCGCTTTGGCGGAACACACGATGCAGCGGTCACACATGAAAAGCGTAACTACGGCAGCCGCTTTGGCGGAACACACGATGCAGCGGTCACACATGAAAAGCGTAACTACGGCAGCCGCTTTGGCGGAACACACGATGCAGCGTTCACACATACATGGTAAACTACTGTGCTCCTCAATTATACTATAGCTCAACGCTCCGCTTTGGCGGAGGGAATGCAAATGCAGCACGTCCTATGAAATTTTAGATGTTCTTGTCCGAGTTTAAGCGACCTTTGCTTGTACAAGTAGAGCTATCGTGGATCGCTGACAGCCTGCTGAATGTCTCCTGTCAAGTACACTCGTGGATTTGGGGCACATTCACTGCGGCCCAGTACGGGTGTATTTGAAAATTAGTTTAGTTTACATCAATATCAAAATTTATTATAGTTGTATAGCAGGGTGTCGTTGCCTCCTCCATGATCCATCATCGACCCAGCGACTGTATGGATGCCGGCAGTTGCAGTGAGGGTGTGGCAGAGTACTCTACTACTCCCTGGTTGCAGTCCTAATGTTGCATACTTTGGTGGACGTATTGCTTGGAGAGAGAAGGAGAGAGTTGGAGATCGTCCGCGATCGGGGCCAATGAGTTGGGAGACGGATTCCCTCACCAACTATCCACTCATAACGATGCAGTATTGTTTGCCGGATCTCCAGAACGTACAGTTCATTGGCAAAGAAGAACAATATGAAAACTGAATACCTAACGGCGACCAAACAACACGAGAACTCAGTGCAGAAGTAGGACACCAAACTCCAAAGCCATCACCATGCAGGTTCCGCCAAAGTGGATCTGCGAAAGCGGAGCTTCCGCTCGCATTTATTTGGCGTAGCGAAATCCAAACTTTCCGCCAGAGCGTAACTTAAGTCTCCGCCGTTGCCGAGGCAACGGTGGAAGCGTAAGTTACGCTTTAGCGGAACCGCCAAAAAAAGTGCATGTGTGACCGGGGCCTTAGCGGAGGCAAAAAGCGTAACTACGGCAACCGCTTTCGCGGAACACACGATGCAGCGGTCACAACTACATATAGGGCGCTTTCGATTACACGCATTTCCGTCAATTCTAGAATTAGTTATTGTTGATGCAGAGTTCGATTACACGCATTTCCGTCAATTCTAGAATTAGATATTGTTGATGCAAAGTTCGATTACACAAAAAGTGACAAACTCCGTCGTTAGAATTGATTTTATCCAATTCCGTCAAATCCGTCAATTCTGAAGAGAGGGCGGAATTTCTCAATTCTGGCGCCAGAATTGCACACTCGGTATGTTACCGGTCTGGTCATGTGTTGTATCCAGTCGGCCCGGGGTTAGACTAGAGGCTGCGGTCGTCGACATCACTAACTTACTAAATCTTCTTACAAGGCCGTGGAGTGGTGGCCACTTGGAGAGAGTCCACCAACAGAATTACTCTTACGCACGCACGCACATATACCTAGACATACTCACACACACACACACACTCAGGCATAATTATACAGACACGTACACTCACACCAGCGTTCAGGTTTACTCACATCTTCAACGAAGGTAACTTAGTTCAAGAGATGATATGAGAGCACAAGGCAAGAGAGACGATAGCCGAAGCTTCCGCCTGAAGGCGGAAGGCAAGAGGGAGAGAGAGAGAGAGAGAGAGAGAGAGAGAGAGAGAGAGAGAGAGAGAGATAGAAGGTAAATGCCATAATATCTAACTACGGGCAGGAGGCTGATCCCCCCCCCCCCCCCCATACGAACTATAGGACAAATAATGAACCATAGTACACCCGCATGCCGCAGTGTAGCAAAACTTAGCAATAATGTGTATAAACTGTATCACAAAGAGCAGAAGCCAGCTAAGGAATAACAGGGTATACCAAATAAGGAAGGCAGCAGGCTTTGTGTGAAGACCTAAAATAAAGGCGATTATGAATCCGTTTACGGGAGATAAATAAATACTTAGACACCTAAATAAGGCAGAATTTTCAAGTAGAGGCCTGAAAGGCACGTGTCAATAGTATGGATACGACATATCCCCCCCCCCCCCCCCCCCCCCCGCTTTCACGGAAAAGAACACGTCCTTGTGTAATACGTAACTTAATAAATTAAACTAAGATTATGGCTAACAATTTTAGCTTCACGAGTGCAGGTGAAATTGGAGTCCCTACCAAAATTGTTCCAAAAACTAACTTTAATATCGAACACAACCAATCCAGTCAGTACCACTGAAGTCACTCATTAGTGCCACACAGGACTCCCAAACAGCTGGGGCGGATGGCGGGAACGCGTGGTTCGCCTTTCCATCACGCCAACTGGCGGAGCATTGTCAAATACCCGAACGGTGTCCTCCTCGTCTCGGGCGGCGGTGGTTGTCCGTTGGCACCAATTTACTTCGGGCCTTGGCCAGAGGTTTTCTTTTCCAGCTCCTTAGGTAGGCGGTCAGCAAAATCCTCTGACAACAATGTAGCGGCGGATCCTGTATCAATCACAGCGTTTACTGGACATCCATTCACCACTCCAGGCACCAACATGTCCGCACGCTCACTCGCATGTTCAAAGAAGACCGAACACATAGATCAGGCTATTGTTTTCTGTCACAGTCTAAGTTTTGCAGATACTGACTTCAACCCCACAGTTCTAGTTCCCGGGAAAATCTACAAAAGCGGATGCAAACGACCTTCCGTCTTTTACAGCACACCCTTGAAGCTGTGCTCTTCGTTAATAATGACAACTCTTGGAGTAAGTACTCCGACAGGCTGAGAATCCGCAGAAAATGGCACTAGACTAGAGCCATTTCGTCGCTAAAGAGCGGTAAAAACCGCACTCTTCTGCTCTGCTCTTAATCCCCTGGGCTGTTTCTCTGACAATTTCCCAGGACATGGGGCATACTCCTCCAGCTCATTAAGTTCCAATGGGTCCCTTGGGATCATTGTGTTTTGACCATTATATTGGGGGTCTCGACGCCCAGAGCTTGGAAGATAATCAATCAGGCTTCCGGTAAATTCCGGGCATGGTCATCGCAGAATTAGAGCTATCCGATCTCTAAAGAGCGGTAATAGCATCAGCTATATCCCAGAGGCTAATTCATAGTTTTCTTGTAAGAAAATATGATTGAGACATAAGTAATTTGCAGCGAAGAGACTATTTGATTTGAGAATGGTGTGTGCAGGGATCTCCATGTAATGAAGTGGCTGCAGTGGAGTATGCATACCATAAGAAATCCTCTATTTCTATCCAACCAATAGAAACGTCTTTGCACAAACATACATAAAGATGTACATGATAATCATATTGAAAAGACGTTTCTATCAGTTTTATATAAATTGATGATTAGGAAACTGAAGTAACAAGCATGATTACCTAGGTGAAAGCAAAGCATAGGGAGGGCACTGGGCTTTCCAGCCAATTGATTTGTAAACCAATTATTATTTATCTGTAGTTGTAATTTTCAGCGTGCATCAGGCGTGTACCAGCGTACATGCCAGCAGTCACTCAGTCACTCTGACTGGCGGGGTACCAGCGTACATGCCAGCAGTCACTTTGACTGGCGGGGTACCAGCGTACATGCCAGCAGTCACTCTGACTGGCGGGGTATCAGCGTACATGCCAGCAGTCCCTTTGACTGGCGGGGTATCAGCGTACATGCCTGCAGTCACTCTGACTGGCGGGGTATCAGCTTACATGCCAGCAGTCACTCTGACTGACGGGGTACCAGCGTACATGCAAGCAGTCACTCTGACTGGCGGGGTATCAGCGTACATGCCATCAGTCACTCTGACTGGCGGGGTATCAGCGTACATGCCAGCAGTCTCTCTGACTGGCGGGGTACCAGCGTACATGCCAGCATTCACTCTCACTGGCGGGGTACCAGCACACATGCCAGCAGTCACTTTGACTGGCGGGGTACCAGCGTACATGCCAGCAGTCACTCTGACTGGCGGGGTACCAGCGTACATGACAGCAGTCACTCTGACTGGCGGGGTATCAGCGTACATGCCTGCAGTCACTCTGACTGGCGGGGTACCAGCGTACATGGCAGCAGACACTCTGACTGGCGGGGTACCAGCCTACATGCCAGCAGTCACTCTGACTGGCGGGGTACCAGCGTACATGCCAGCAGTCACTCTGACTGGCGGGGTATCAGCGTACATGCCAGCAGTCGCTCTGACTGGCGGGGTGTCAGCGTACATGCCAGCAGTCACTCTGACTGGCGGGGTACCAGCGTACATGCCAGCAGTCACTTTGACTGGCGGGGTCCAAAAATTGGTACTCGAAGGTGTCGCTAAACACGCTAAATACGACTCGGATTGCTGTTTTTTTGTGAAAGGCTTAGTGCGCATCTGGGCACGCATGAACCGCAAGCGTACCGCGTCCACTCGCCAGTTGTGAACACAGCTTAAGATTTAATTTATGGCCTCCTGCTTTGCTGCAATTGCGGCTGGGGTTGACGTCTTCACCAGGATTTGAGGCGGACCCTTCAGTACTCAACAAAACGCTGAACAAGAAGCGTGTTCAAATTCAGGTCATGAAACTTTGTTTTCAAGCAATGGATGGCTGCAGGTGTCAGGCGATGGCGTCATACTAGCATTTTTACATTAGATTATAATGAGCAGCAGCAGCAGAGAGATAGGGTAAGCAGTTCCGCACCTTCTTTCCTTGACAAGCACTGCGCTCATGTTGTTGCTGTTTTCAGGCCTGCTACCTTCGCAGCAACATGCGCCACAGGTAGCGCATTTCAGGAATTTGAGAACACTTTGTTCTTGCAAAACTCAACTTCAGCATGCCAAATTCAAGAGATATACCAGGATTCGTATCCCTTTGTTGGAAAAAATCACTGTTTGCGTCCGACTCGGCTAGAGGAAGAGTTTTCCGCATCCACAGGAACGCCACCAACCCTTCAAGGACCAAGGCGCAGATGCAGCTGCTAAAGCGGTGGGAGGGAATGTGGGCCGGTATGAACTACAGAAAAAGGATTCGCACTCTGGGCGAAATATTGCGGAACGCGAAGAATTTGTTTCCGACAGCCTGACTAAGGCAATCAAGTCACAAACATTGCGATGTGCGAAGCGAAAATTGTAATGCCAAGTCGGAAGTACCTATATTTTTGTTATTCAAACTGATAGAAACGTCTTTGCAATACAAAACCCGCTCCCGATAATAAGATTTGTTAAGGGGGACATGTCCCCCAGACCCCCTCTTTCTCTTCGCCTCCTTTCGGTCATACAACTTTTTAGAACCTGGTGGCGCCCCAGCAAAGTGATCTTTCAGGGATTAGGACTGCCCTGAAAAGAGAACAAACAGGACTGGAACCTGCGACCTTGCTTGTCATGAGCATAGCTCTAACAATCTAAGCTATGGGACTGTGCACAACCTAGAAAGCGCTGACAACTATTTCACTAAAATTTCAGCTAAAAAAAAACTTTCCAATTAATTTTGTTTTTCTCGTGAATGGTCACCGTTTCCGATTGGAAGAAGTCCTTTCTTTGGAATTTGACGAAATTATTCATCGACTAATTTTCTCTGCTTGTAAAGCACACGGATTGAGAGTGAGTGGATATTGCAGCAGCCGAAATACCTTCGCGTTTGAATTGCCGTTGCTGCGCTTCACTACGAACAATACAACACCATGCGGACAAATGTGAGCACACGACACGGAGTACTGTACATCAGCAGAAGCCTTTTCCAATAAATCGTTACGGGTTAGGACTGCTGTACTACTCGAACTCAGCGCAGACATTCAGTGAAATGTTGGGCACTGAATGGGAGAACCTTACCTGACTTCAAGCCAGGGAGAAGCACCTGCTCCCGAAAGCGGCCGGATGGTTTCTGTCCGGCGTCCGCTATTCTGGTACCGTTGACCCGGACGATTGGTAGTCCCACAAATCTAAACGCCACCTGCCGATGGGCAGGTAACGAATGAAAGCGCTTCACTTCCGCAACCAGATGGGGACGGAGCGTCACTCAAACTCCCAGAAAATAACAATATAAAGGGCCGCAAGCAGAACACGCATCCGCCCAGAACACCTACAGACGGCAACGAGCAAGAAAAAATGATTCCGCATTCAACTGAAGCGCGGACGGTGCAGCAGTCCAAGATCCCAACTACACGTTCGCTGCACGCTCCAGCGGCCAGAGCTCTGTGGCTTCATTCATCTGTCTGATCTGGCAAAAGCTGTAGATTTACGCGTAGATTATGTACATGACTGTAGAACATGACATCAGATTCTACTGCCTGCTCCACACTACAAAAGTACAGTGCTACTCGTGTACATCAACACGTACTAGTAGATGTACGAGTAGGTCTAAAATCATTGCGGGCCCATCTTTCCGCTGATACCACGCCAACTCCGAAAAGAAGCCGACTGTCGACTGTGTCGCCAGAGGCGGACTAGCTGTTCAAGTGTCATCACATGCAACTGTGATCGATGTCGCCTGTACAGTGCACTATATTATTATTATGATTATGTAGACGCTAGGCTTGTCTGTTCACACACGTACACTTCATGTGATACACAGCCGGGCTAGATCGTAGTACTAGTAGACGCAATGCAGGGCAGAGGAGATGAGATCGTTTTTTTTACAGGCAGTACCTACAGCCAGTTCAAGGCCAAAGGCAAAGGCGTAAAAAGGCTGTCATCCACAGCAGCACTCTACACAACACATCATCATCATGCAAGTACTAGTACATTTTACTCATTCATCCTGAGACGCTCGCCACGTTTTTTAAAAATTTCGGCCAGTCGGCTACTACATGTGTCGTATCCGGTCGGCCCCGGGGTTGGCCCCCACGGCTGCGGTTCGACATGAACTAACTTACTAATAAACCTTCACATTACAAGGCCGTGCAGTGGTGGCCACTTGGAGAGAGAGTCCACCAACAGAATTACTCTTACGCACGCACACACATATACCTAGACATACTCTCACACACACACACACACACTCAGGCATATACAAACACGTACACTCAGAGCAGCGTTCAGGTTTACTCACATCTTCACAGGATGGTACATGTAACTCAGTTCAAGAGAAGATAATGAAGAGCACAAGGCAAGAGAGATAGAGAGAAAAGGAAGGTGATGGCAATACTATCCAATTGCGGCCATGGAAATCCATGGCCACCAACTTGCTGGTCCCGCATGCAATAGCGTATCAAACCGTAGTAAATATGTGTACAAACTGTTGCATAAAGAGCGGGAGCTAGGTGGGGAAATAACAGCGTATACCAAACAAGGAAGGCCCCAGGCCTTGCGTGAAGACATAAAATAAAGACGATTACGAACCCGTTTATGGGAGATAGATAAATAATTAGACACCTAAATAAGGCAGACTTGTCACGTAGAGGCCTAAAAGGCACGTGTCAATAGTATGGATACGACATATCCCCCCGCTTACATGGAAAAGAACACGTCCTCGTGTTATAAGTAACGTTATAAATTAGACTAAGATTATGGCTAACAATTAAACTAAACGAGTGCAGGTCAAATTGGTGTTCTTATCAAAATCTGTTCAAAGACTAACTGTAACATCGAACACCACTAATCCAGTCAATACCACTGAAGTCACTTACTCGTGCCACACAGGACTCCCAAACAGCTGGGGCGGATGGCGGGAACGCGGAGTTCGCCTTTCCATCACGCCAACTGGCGGAGCACTGCCAAATACCCGAGCGGTGTCCCCCTCGTCTCGGTCGGCGGTATTGGTGGCATCAGGCTGGTAGGACGGAGTCAGGGTGGATGCCATGGGCTGCGGTGGGTCCGACTCATCTTGCTCGTGAACCTCCTGCAGCCGACTCGGTCGATGATGGCAACTTTTCAGCCGGTTGACGTGCACTATCAGCCGACGTGCCGTGGGCTCAGACAGTTTGATGCGGTAGGTGACGGCTGAGAGCTTCTCTTCGACTAGGTACGGTCCGTCCCAAAGTCTAGCAAACTTGGCGGTTGTACCCGTCGGTATAGATGGCACCAGAAGCCACACTGCGTCACCTGCTGCAAACGCCACGGCCTTAGAGTAGCGATCACGGATATGCGCTTGATAACGGTGCACGTTGCCCAGGTGTTCCCGGACCTGTGCATGAGCGTCCTCCAGGCGTCGGCGGAGAGCACTCACAAATTCCGGCTGTGACGATACTGCGGATGCTTCTCCTGGCGGTAATCCAGATGCCAAGTTGTCCTGGTCTTATCTATGCCAAGCAGAAAGCAAACGCTGCGAAACAAAGAGCCATCAAAGTTTTTGCCCTGATCGGTATGCAACCGATCAGGAGCAATAGTCCACTACAACCAAAATATGGCGGTTCCGTTCCGCTGTCTCCGGTAAATTGGGGATCAAATCCATTGCTACTCGCTCAAAAGGATACCCCGTCCAGGAAGACTGTGGTGGAGCGCCAGACCCTCTGCCTACGGGACGTTTCAACTGGCTACAGGAAGAACAACTTGCAACCCAATCTAAGACATCTTTCTTCATGCCTACCCAGTGAAATTGTTGCGTCAGTTTCTTCTGCAGTCGTGTAGAACCCGTATGTCCCCCCCCCCCCCCTCCCTGGTCATGATACTCTTGCACAACCAAAGAACGTAAATGTCGGGGAACTACAACTTGCAAGATAGATGGCTTACTGGGGCAGGGGTCCTCCCAACGACGGCACAACACCCCCTCATGATGAACCAGCATTTCATGATTTATCCACAAAATACGTACCTCAGGACTGCTACCCATCATGTCCTGCGGGCAAGGCGGAGAGTCCATACCTAGCCAGGACACTACTTGGGCGAGATCTCGGTCCTTCTCCTGTTCCGTTTCCCATCTTGACCACGGCCAGTTGAAACGGCGGATGAGGGGTGTGGGGATGTTGCCAACGTCGTTATTCACGGCCATTACGAACAGCGTCGTCGGAGCATCAGGGCGGCGTGACAGTGCATCAGCGTTAGCGTGTGATCGACCTGCCCTGTACAATATGGTGAACTCACATTCAGACAAAAATTCCAGCCAGCGAGCCACAATCGCTGGTGGATGTTGAAAGTTAGCCAAATGTTCCAGAGAATGGTCGCTGTGCATATAACAAATTCAAATTTTCTACCAAGCAGGTAGCAACGGAAATGCTGCACAGCCCACACCAAGCCCAACAATGGTTTTTTTGGTGGGCGTTAGACAATGGGAAGTAGCTATGTAGGGGTGTGAGCCCGCCTTTCGGCACCGGAAGAGGACCCACACCTTGATCTGGTGAGCTGCGTCGCGTTTGCTGTGGAGTGCTGTGCTGTGCAGTGGAGCTCGCATACCATAAGAAATCCTCTATTTCTATGCAACTAATAGAAACGTTTTCGCAAAAAAAACTTTACATAAAGATGTACTTGATAATAATATTGAAAAGGCGTTTCTTTCAGTTTTATAGAAATTGATGATTAGGAAACTGAAGTAACAAGCATGATGACCTACGTGAAAGCAAAGCATACAGAGGGCACTGGGATTTCCAGCCAATTGATTTGTAAACCAATTATTATTTATCTGGATTTCCCAGAGGCTGAATCGAGTAGTTAGGGTGTATGGTGCTAGATTTTCATTTTTGTCATTTTTTTCATACATAACACGGGGTTTGATCCTGAACACACACTGACAGGTCAGGTACATTTTACGGAGTAATTATTATTATGCTGCGGTGCTAGCTTATCGTTTTTCTTTTTCTTCATTTTTCCAATTGTTCGCACACATAACGTGGTATTGGAACATGCACTCTCTCCTTGCATGCATTCCTTCCATACACTTAGCATGCATACTCATCCTACCAACTTGCTTCACGTTATGATCCTTGCGTTGAAAGCCCTATTTCACTATTTGACCAGCTTCTTTACTGGTATGGTATTGTCGCACACCAGGCATGCTGCATCAGTTATTTATTTATTTATTTTATTTCACCTTCCCGTGGCCAGAGAATATAGGCCAATACGGAGGGAGGGGGCGGTAGCCAGCCATGGTAGGGAAACAAAAATGAAGCAAAAATAAATAAATATCCCTTTATGTACTGATTTCCAGCACAGAATGAAACAGAATTTATATTTTCTGCACAATTTACACCTTCAACAGGCTACAACTTTGACCTCCTTCACTGCATTTCCACAACCTTGGGCTCTTTGGAAAGCTCCTGGCGAGAGCAACGCCAGCATACCAGACTCCATCAACTAGCTGCCACAAATTAGGCGCGGGATTACAGCAAAGTCCACCCCAAGCCCAATATGCGAGTAAATTCCACCATCAATGCCATTCCACTCTCCCCTATCACAGAAAGCTCTTTTCGAGGCGATTCAAACCTCAGCCAACAACGTCATTATCATGTGCTCAGTTGGTCAAAGAGCACACAGATAGGGATTTCCCCCTAAAATGACAAAGAGATCGGATCAAAGTACTTCAATAACATGCGAGGAGACAATAGTCGTAAAATGGCAATGAATATAACTTAGGGCTGCCACTTACTCCGATTTTTGATCGCCTGTCCGACAAAGCGACCGATTTTGTTCCGCAAAGAGGGACAACCGATTATTATATTTTGAGCGCTTTTTAGTCCAGTTGGCCATTTATTCATAATTGACATGGTTGTAGCACGTGTGCTGGACAGTTACAAATGTGTTCTGGGGCCCCAACAGCAAGCTATTTTCCTAAATATTTTCACCAAGGGGGCCGTGCCCCCTGCACCCAAGCGGGAGACACCCCAGCACCCCCGTCAGATTTTTCTCCCTCCAAGTGTGGCAGCCCTGTAACTAATTGTGCAATCATGAGCCATAACCATGTACATGTGACATTTTGTTTTTCTGCTGAATGATCACCGTTTCCGATTGGAAGAAGTCCTTCCTTTCTTTGACGAAATTATTGTGAGCGGATATTGCAGCAGCCGAAAATACCTTCGCGTTTGAATTGCCGTTGCTGCGCTTCACTACGAACAATACAATACAATACCATGCGAACAAATGTGAGCACACGAGACGGAGTACTGTACATCAGCAGAAACCTTTTCCAATTAATCGTTACGGGTTAGGGCTACTGTACAACTCGAACTCCGCGCAGACATTCAGTGAAACTTAGGCACTGAATAGGAGAACCTTACCTGACTTCAAGCCAGGGAGAAGCACCTGCTCCCGATAACGGCCGGGTGGTTCCTGTCCGGCGTCCGCTATTCTGGTAACGTTGACCCGGACGATTGGTAGTCCCACAAATCTAAACGCCACCTGCCGATGGGCAGGTAACGAACGAAAGCGCTTCACTTCCGCAACCAGATTGCGACGGAGCGTCACTGAAACACCCAGAAAATAACAATATGAAGGGCCGCAAGCAGAACACGCATCCGCCCAGAACACCCACAGACGGCAACGAGCAACAAAAAAACGATTCCGCATTCAACTGACGCACTGACGGTGCAGCAGTCCAAGATCCCATCTACACGCTCGCTGCACGCTCCAGCGGCCAGAGCTCTGTGGCTTCATTCATCTGTCTGATCTGGCAAAAGTAGTAGATTTACGCGTAGATTATGTACATGACTGTACAACATGACATCAGATTCTACTGCCTGCTCCACACTACAAAAGTACAGTGCTACTCGTGTACATCGATAGGTAGGTCTACATAAATCATTGCGGGCCGATCTTTCTGCTGATGCTCCCACACCAACTCCAAAATGAAGCCGACAGTCTGTGTCGCCAGAGCAGAGGCGGACTAGCTGTTCAAGTGTCATCACATGCAACAGTGCTAGTGAGCGATGTCGCCTGTACTAAAATGATTATGACCCTACCTGTCTGTTCACTGGCCTGTCTGTTCACCCACGTAAACGTCACGTGGTACACAGCCGGGCTTGATCGTAATACTAGTAGACGCAATGCAGGGCAGAGGAGATTAGATCCTTTTTTTACATGCAGTACCTACAGCCAGTTCAAGGTCAAAGGCAAATGCGTAAAAAGGCTGGCGGCATCCACAGCAGCACTCTACACAACACATCATCATCATCATGCATGTACATGTATATTGTAGTCATTCATTCTGAGACGCTCGCGTTTTCGGTTTCTAAATTTCGGCCAGTCGGCTACTATCATAATCGTGTTGTGGGTTAGACAAGGGGAAGTAGCCATGTAGGGGCGTGGGCCCGCCTTTCGGCACTCTATGGAGTGAAGAGGACCAACACCTTGATCTGGTGAGCTGCGTCGCGTTTTGATCATGCTGACTGAGGCTACTGCTTTTCTTTCACAGTTTAGCTTCCAATAACTGCTCTTCCACGTCTTCGGCATTTTGATTACTGCAGAAGTATTGTATTTTTGGCAGTATTGTATTGTTGGCAGTATTGTATTTTTGGCAGTATTGTATTGTTGGCAGTATTGTATTTTTGGCAGTGTTGTATTTTGGCAGTATTGTATTTTTGGCAGGCGAAGGAGAGTGACAGTTATAAGTATACATTTTCGTTCAGGAAATCTTTCGTTAGATCACTCCACCAGTAGGTTTGTCACATAATACATTTTGATTTTCGTCGAGGTCTGTCATCCGTAACGTTCAGAAAAAGAACTTTAGTTATTTCGTGCCCCTTAACGAATATAGCGAAAGTAAATTCCAAACGAAATTCGTACTTATACAGTAGCCTTATATAGAATGTATGAAAAAGGAAGGCAGTGTAAGCAATGTAGAGTGTGTATCTTTCACCCCTCTACTGCTCTACTGCTCTAGTTCTCCGTACATACATGTATGGTGGTTGTAGTCAGTTGTGCACTGGTTATTTAAACGTCTTTGTCGCGTACACTAGAGAGGTTGTGCATAACGAAAATTCGTAAAGATCTTTCGGAATCTGAGCCGTCTGGAAGTGACGAAAATTCGTAAAGAAAATCTGTTGTGCTCAACGAAAAACGTAGTGTGACCATGGTGACCCTTTCGAGTACTTTTTCCGCTGTTTGCGCGAACAGCTCCAGTAGCTTCATCACTCTGTCCCGAATAGCTTTCTTCGTCACACCACCGAACTGAGTTGGGCTCAAGTTTTCCAGCTCGCAGGCAACGATCTCCATGGCTGGAGACCCTCGTAGAAACAGTTGGTCGTGAGAACGAAGCTGCCTGAGAAGGGCCAAGTCCATCCCGAGATCAAATGTCCTTCGCTGAGACGTCGCAGGGGAAGACGAAGACACAGATTTCTGCTGCGGGGATTCAGCAGAATAATTTGTGACAGGGCGAGTACTGACAGAACTTCCAGATCTGACAGAACTGACAGAACTAGCCGAGGGCTGTCCAGGTGACAGAGGATCGCTGAGAGAGCGGGAAAGAGATCCATCAGCTCCACAGGATGCCGAGTAGGAAGAGCTCGCAGAACGGCTTGAAAAGGCCATGGCGAAAAAATCTTGACACCACGTGCATCAACACAGCTACATGTACATGTATACAGAAGCTTGCGAGAAAGAAGCGAAAGTTTGAAACGTAAGATCTTCAAGTTTCGCGGTCCTCCTCGCGAAAGTTCCTTTCCTTTTTCGTTACTCGTGCCCAGACTACGTCTAAGTTACGAATTTTCGTTATGCACAACATCTCTACTGTGAGTCTTCTGGTAGAGAATTCTCTGTTGTCATGAGTCTGCTGCGTGCCCGTCTCTCTTTCTCCTTACTGAGATCCAGTATTCTTTGTATCCTTGGACCGAGATGCTCGTTCTCGTCGGGGCTTCCCCGTCCAACGTTTTTTGGATAGTTCCGTCGTGGTGGCTGAGTCTCGCCTAGTTACGTAATTTTCTGATCTTCTATACTGTGTTTATTTGTTTATCAAGTTTTTTGTTTGATTTTTCGTTTTTTGATTTTTCTTTGATTTTTCTTGATGAAGTTATTGGTACGAAGTAGTGGTTGCGACCTCGGCGATGTTTTTTTAAGAAAGGGTTTGCTCCCCACACCGGAGCTCGCGCTTTTCCGCCGACTTTACTTGACACTTGACTTGTCGCGCTGGAAACGGAGCGTCTCTGTATCCCTGGTGATGTTTGTGCCTGGAGAGCACTATATAAGTGGTGCTCTTCAGGCAAAATCTTCCTCAGCCTACTCAAGCTCAACTGATGAGGGGTGAATTCCCCGAAACACGGGATTTATACTACAAAACATGGGTGAAAGATTACGGGCAAAGTGTGAGAATGAGAAGTTACAATTCTCCAGCAACACAGTGCCAGGGGTTCCAAAAAAAAAATGAATAGGATGAAATCAGGTGGAGATGGCCAGATTTATACTACAAAACTATCACCTAGCCGTTAGAATATTAATGTTAGCAGCTTGTGATTGGATTTCTCACCTGCCATTTTCTTGGAACCCCTGGCACTGTGTTGCTGGAGAATTGTAACTTTTCATTCTCACATTTTGCCCGTAATCTTGCGCCCATGTTTTGTAGTATAAATCTGACCATCTCCACCTGATATCATCCTATTCAATATCACCTTCTCTGATGAGCCTTATGAAGGCGAAACAGCTGTCAGGAGGAATTTCAGTATCTACCTGCAACCCTTCCTTGTTGGTGTGTGTAATGGCTACTGAGGGTAGCAGTGAGTCGGCTGTGAGAGCGCATGGAGGAGAGGAGAGGAAGAGTTCTTTGAATTGAGTTTGTTGAGTTTATTGATTGAGTTTATTTTAATTATATAAAAATGATTTGAAGTTTGGGTTTTTTTTGGGTTTGAAATTCTTTATTTTACACATGCATTTTTCTGATTTCTTCTCCAGTGTATGATTTATTACAATTTAAACCATTGTGTTACTTTGCCCGTAAAAGAGGCCAGAAAAAAAAGAAAGAAAAAAAGCAGTGTAAGTTGTGAGTACTAGTAGCTATCTGCATGTACATGTACATGTACGTGTACGTGTACGTGGTTGTTTTTTTTTTTACGGGGTAACGGCCTCTTTTACGGGCAAAATAAAGTCATGTAGACGTGAAAAAAAATTGAGATACCATGTAAGGTAAAATATAATTTTATTCAAGTACAATACATTGGGAAACTCCAAGAAATTCCACGTAAAACAGACAGAATTCAGTTTTCAATGGCCGATGCCTACCCCAGCACCATCCTGCGTCGACAGGCCTGTCAGGCGCCTTCTAGACCCGCGTAGCCGGAGGTCGACTGCATGGATCACTGCAAATTGGCTGCGAACTCGCAACCAAGCCATGATGATTGAAAATGGCTTGTCCCACTTGAGGGCGAGGCGACCAGCAAGTCGCTTCTGATAGCTGGCGTATTCGCGATGTAGCACCCCATCCGTGGAACAAACCAGTGGTGTGAACGACCCACGGAGGTCCTCGGAGGCCTGACGATACTTCTTTTTCTTCGCGTTAGCAGCGCGGTTGGAAGTAGCTTCCCAGGATGAATGGGAGTAACTGGGTGCGTTGGCATCAATGATGCGATTATCAAAAAACGCCACCCTGTTATCCTCCCACACACCCCGGGCAAGCCAATCTGCCCGAAGAGCAGGCTGCCCCGTCCGATCACCCTCCGGCACCATGATCGGCTCGACGACATTATCAGCTAGCTTTGCATCGCTATCACGCAGATCATTGTGGCTTCGCTTGATAAGTCAACCTTTCGGGCAGTCATGTGGTTGATGAGTTGTGGTTGAAATGATAAAAGTCGTAGGAGTAGGAAGCAAGTTTTTAGCTCCTGCCTTTCCATCTATGGAATAGCCTTTCGGCCACTTTTGTAAGTATAGGTGGACCTGGAACTAGTCCCAGCCCTAATATGGTGGAGAACTCAAATATGGACCTGGCCTTGCTGCTGGATGGGGAGATTCGTGACTTGCCCAAAAAGTCAGGATTTGCAGGTGTGGACTCGTTGGCCCGACCGGACCTTGTACTTCAACTTCGCGCCATGGACATCGGCAAATCAGGTATGCCAGCGCTAGTGAGCTCTATCAGTGCACTGTCCTCGACTATCACTGCATTAACTGTGGAAATGGTCTCCCTCAGGGAGGACAGGGATAGGGAAGTTAGAGAAGTGAAAGCAACCATTGATGGCCTCGTGGCGAAGATGATACACCTTGAGGAAGGCGGGAGTCCAAACCTGATTGCACAATCTACAACCCCGAGTACAACGTACAGTAGTGTAGCTAGTTCAGGTAGTACAGGGGCTGGGGTGAGGGAAACCGTCACTCAGACTCGTACTCCCCCCAACGCACACTCTACCAACCGTACCCGCCCTTCCCAAACATCGACACATGTACACCAGACCTCATCACGCACTGAAACACCACCGGCTGCACCAACCAGATCAACATTGGCTACAACTAGCACAAGTGAATATACGGGAAGCAGTTCGGATGGCTGGGCCGAAGTTGTACGGCGTCGGGTCACGTCCCGGTACGTGAAGCCTGTGGCCCCAGC